GCATGATGGGCAACACCATCCTGTAAAAATAATCACCACTGCTACAGAAACTTCAAGCCACTAGCTTGGAGCCGTTTGTTCCACTGTGAATGTGAAGGAATAAAAAAACAGAAAAAAATAATGCAATTTCATCAAGAACTGCTTAAACTCAGGTCGTAATACTGACAAGAAACCATCCTGAAAAATCACAAGAAAATTCATTCTACCACATACATCAAGAATATCTCTGAAATAACGGCTAGAATATTAAGATCATTCGAAATAAACATAACACACAAACCAACACAATCACTTCATTCAATATTGTGCAGACTAAAGAACTCAAAAGCGAAAGAGGGAAGATAAGATCAATATCATTTACAAAATCAATTGCATGAACTGTAGTAATAAGCACGAAAGGGATTAAGAGTGGGCGTTCCCTTCAACTCCGAATCTATGAACATAAATTAACTGTGAAAATACACGATATGTATTCTTTTATATATCAATCAATACATGTAGGCAATTATATACGCTAATTTGACTGGGAGAATGTAGACATTACAAACACAGGAAACACCGAAAAATGCCAGGGAATTTCTGGAAGCCTGATGCTCAGATGACTATGCTACTGAATCACATCATGACAAGTCAATAAAAATAATCAAAGTAAACTGACAACTAGTCACAACAATAGTTGTCAGGAGATACAGTGATATCACTCATTCTTGAAGAATTTTTACAAGTTCCTTTGATACTAAGTCGGCGACCATACCACGTTGAAAGCACCAGTTCTCGTCCGATCACCGAAGTTAAGCAACGTTGGGCCCGGTTAGTACTTGCATGGGTGACCGGCTGGGAATACCGGGTGTTGCCGGCTTTTTTTGTGCGTCGGTGGCATAGTGGTTAGGACGCTCGCCGACCATGCATATGATCCCGCGTTCGATTCCTGGCCGACGCACTCTACTTCTCTAAGCCAGAAATTAAGCTGGTGAATAAGAAAGGTTGGGCATAGGGCTAGCAACCCCATCCTGTAAAATAAATACTGCTACAGAAACTTCAAGCCACTAGCTTGAAGCCCTATGTTCCACTGGGGAACGTGATGGGAAAAAAAGGTACTACATTTGATACTAAAATCTGCGCTGAAGATGTTTTCTATGTAGGGGACAACGAAAGCTTCGCCATTGAATCAACCAGCTCAAAGAACACGACTAAATCAAAATCACCCACCTGAGCTACAAATCTCTTCTATTATTTCACTGTTTGGAAGTCGTTGAGCGCTTAGACCAATAAGCAGCCACACACCCTTTCACCTAATGCTTATTAGGTAGTCGGTGATTCCCTCAACAGATGTCAATTCATGACAAAATCAACTTTCAAAATCTGAGAGTATTGAGAATGTCAGAGATTTATTCAAAAATCTTTACTTATTCAATCTTTGTGGGGAAAAAACCCGAGCCATTTTCACTGTATTTGTCTACTTAGTGCAATATATGAGTTCATAGATGGTGGACTTCGTATTAGTATGTGTCACTGAAAAAAAACTTCGTATTGTTTAACTATATGGCCAATACGAGTTGAAGACATGAAAAGGTTGACTGTTTTTGATCATAGATGTCTACGATCTCTTTCTCACGTTAGGTGGTATAATAAGGTGAGTAATGTTGACGTTAGGCGTAGAGTGTTGGGCAAAGAGGGAAAATCACTCGAAGAGGCTATGAAGTTACATAGTCTGAGATGGCTAGATCACGTGCTGCGCATGCCTAACCATCGCCTCCCCCTCCCGATGGGCATTACTAGCTGATATAGGTGCAGGCTGGAAAAGAGTAAGTGGTGGCCAAACAAAAACATGGCCTCATCAATCCATGAAATCCTTGACAGTTAAACTGAATCAGGTAGGGAGGGAGATGCAGACTTCCGGGTTGGGGCCAGCCCTCGGGACTCTAAGAATCAATGACTGGAGACAATAGGTGACATGGCTCAAAATCCTTGTTGTCAATGGCTTACGCAGATGTATTCAGTCTCTGTAATATTCAGTCTCATATTCCTTTCTACCATTACTCATTCTGTTTCACTCTTATACTTGTCAAAACCCTATTGATTCTCTTCACTCATTTTCTTGTCTACCTATGTGTGCTCTTTGGAACGTGGCAACTCGAACTGCTGCACTTCAGTGCCAAGTTCTATGTTGAATCCAGATAGACATATGACTCAGTTTACCTATTTAATTTACAACGAATAATGTTAGGATATATACCTTACTTGTCATTCCTTTTTGATCGTTGATAAATTTAACTGCTATACTGGAAGAAATCTGTACCTCAGGTGGATGTTTCTGATGTGATTGTTTTCTCTTAGTTGATGAGTGGTTTAATTATTTACTAAATTATTTATTAAATCAACAACTTGATACATTATGTGAGCACCAAGAAACGCACCACACAGAATTTCATAGTTTGTTCAAGGGCTAGGACACTTCCCGGACACTCAAACATAGGCAGGTGATCGTTTTTTATCGGACTCTCTTCCAAATCTTTGGCTTGAAGTCTGACTCATAAGGTAGTGGGGCAGTAGTCTCCCCATAGGTTATAGTGACCAAAATATATTCATATGCGCCATTCGATTCTTTCAGATTCTGCAACCCATGGACACTACCACAGGTATGGAATTATGATTTTCTAATTCCCTTAGGTAGATTAGTAGAGATTGTCCACCAGTCTGGTTGTGGCCATCAGCCAGGTGTTCGTATTCGCTCCTTTCACTTTTGTGAGAAACACCACCCCCTCCCCCGCTCGCCTAGTGAAGGCAGTGAATAGGAATTATCAAGCAAAGACTATGAACACGTAGTCACGTGAAAGCATTTTGAAAGGAAGATCAAAGTCTACTCACCCCTGGGCCGTCGTACTAAGTTGAAGTGAGCACTCAACAGATTGTCGAGATGGCCAATGAAAGCCTCAAAAATAAAAACCACTTGTCTCAGAGGTTGCAACCAGCAACCCAGCACTTCTATGGCATATCTTCGCATTTCTTTGGCTACCTGAGCAGCCTTCCCAGCTAGCTTCGTACATTTTGTACGGACATTCCACATCCCCATTCTTACTCTTAGTTTCATCGAGAGAAGACACATCGGTTGACTGACTGGCTTCCCGAAGGGTTTCATCAGCCCTCCGGGTCATTTCGCCTCTCCAATTCCAGCGAAGATTGAGATTCCTATTTGAATTTTTTTGCGTATTTTTAATACATATTTTGTGCGTTCAAGTTTCTGTAGCAGTTTGATAGCCTTTGTGGTGTGTAGGGTCGCTAGTCCCACGCCCAACCTCTCTTTGGAAAGGTCTTGTGATCGACTAGTTAACTAGGCGAGGATGAAACCAAATCAGATTTTGGAAAACACCCATATGGACATTAGAGAAAAAAGAGAACTCGAAGTTCAGCAAGGATATCTTTTCGGCGATTTCATTTTCAAAAGCTTTACAATCGCATTTAGATACATAATTTTACATGGATACAATTCTTGTTTGATTCCACATAATTGCGATGGCGAATAAGAGGTGATAGTTATTTTTAACTAGACATGGTTTTTACTAGAGGCTTAGAAACAAAATTACACAGGGTGAGGACGGATATCAAGTGTGTAGAAATGAGCATGGAAACAAAAATTGAAATAATAATTTTCAACTTGAGATGGGAGTTAGGAGGTGCGAATATAGATTACAAGAGCCTTAGAAATTATACAGGGTTACAATGAATTACAGGTGTATAGAAAATGAGCATGGAAACAAACACATACGCACTCTGTTTAAAGTATTTAACAAAAGTAGACCAATATTTGTAGGTCCGAGGTCAAATTTTGATCACAGCTCATAAAACTTCGTTTATTATACTTGTTGATACTTGTTGAATGACTCATGATTGGACAAAGTTTTTAAAAACAAGAGATGTCCCTCTTTTTATATATAAACCTCTGTTTATGTTAATTTCAATTAATTTCCCTGAAGAAGTTCGGACCAGATTGCCGAACGAAACGTTGGAATTACTCATTTCAATCTCGTTGAGATTTCACAAATATAATTTTTACAAATGTCTACTTCTAACTCGGCGCCCAAATATCTTAGAACTATTCTGTCAAATCTTGACGACAGTTCATTTGAATAATAATTTTCAACTTGAGATGGTAGTTAGGAGGTGCGAATATAGATTACAAGAGCCTTAGAAACACAAAAATTGCACAGGATTAAGATATAATTGTAAAATAGTTAATTTTTTTAAAAATTATTAAACGAATTATAAATGTGAACAGGAAAATCATGGAAACAAACTTAAAATAACTGTTTTTATAACTGAAAAAATGGGGTGAATCGAATGAAGACTGAGGGAGTAAGAATCATACAGACACAGCGAACGAAAAAAGATCAAAAAGGAAAAAGAGAACGAAAGAAGAAAAAAAAAACAAAAACGGAAGCTAAGGTAACATACCGAACTAGGTCCATGGTAGTTGTAGAGGTTGGACTAATTTCTTTTGAACACACAGCTCCGGCTTCTCGATGCATATTGCGAGGGCTTCTGCAGTACAGAGAAGTCGGAAACACACTGCTTTTGGTAGGTTTCTGTTGACTTTGTAAATTACTTTGAAAGAATCAGTTGAGATGTTGTGAGAGGTGTTGATCAGATGTTCAATAATGGCACTTCTCATTGAACCTCCTCTTTGCAGCCACGTTTTGAAAGAACGCGCATACAATGACCTATGTACCTAGCTAGCTTGGCATGAGCAGGTGAACTGGTATATATGCACATTGAATTGGTCATATGCGAGAAGAGTTTGTCCTTCGTGTTGTTGTTTCGAAGTAGTATTGGACGGCTAGAGAATGTGTCACTCTTAGTGTTGCTGCTCGGGGAAGGTCTTCTTTAAGGGAGCTGAATATTCTCCTCTTCAGATTTAATTATGATCTTAAGTTCATCTCATACTCATCGCTTATCAATTTTTTTTCTGTTTTTCTCTCTTTCTCTCTGTTTTTTTTTTGTAGTTACATTTATCGGGGGTGTAACATTTATAATATTTGCTTTCAGTGTATTCTTTGGTAATCCAGAATCAACTTCTTGATTTGACCATCCTGCCCCGCCCCCGCCTCCTGTTTTTGATTAGTTAGTTGTTTATATATTTCTGTAATTATTATAATATCATACATGCATATACGTACGTATATATGTATATTTCAGTTACAAAGCATCATTCGTGTATTAATTTACACCAAATATATATTTTTTTCACCACTAGTGACCTCATTTTCAAATGCTATCTGTGTACTTCTTTTCTCCGCTTAAAGATTAACTTGTGATTATTATTATCATTATAATTTAAGATGGACGTATTTCAACGTCTTGTTGTATCTCTGTTTTACTTTTTTTCTACTGTACTAATTTATTTATTTATTTATTTATTTTTGATGATTTCCGTTTCTCTGTGATGTGAAGTGTTTGTTGTACGTACACATATATACAAAGAGGCAGACAGACAGACAGATGAATTGTGATCATGTCCGATGAGTACAACTCATCATCATCATCATCACCACATTCCCGCCCTGTTTTTTTGTGTTTGTTTTAAACAAACAAGTCTAGTCTTGAACAACAATTGAACAACAATATTGTCTATATTATATTTTCTACTTTGATATCATCATCATCATTTGTTTATTTTTGTTGTCTATAATAACATATCTAACGCCATACTGTGTATATGAGTACTATTCATATATATACTGTTATAGATTTCATTTCTTAAAACACAAGATAAATGACAGGAAATAGTCTTTCAGTTTTGTCTGGTTTGTTGAATCGATATTGGGGGGTGGGTTAAGTAAATAGACATACCTCTACCTATATACAGCAAGATCCCAACCGATAGCTGCTACCTTGACGTGGTGGTCGCCGGGCTTGCACATTGCGACGACCCAACAAGCTACACTGACTGGAACCAATGTTCCTGGAGGTCCTACCATGCCAAGGAGGTTACCGGCATTGTGTAAGAATCTTTCCTACACTATGCTGGGGGTCTGAGGGCGAAGTCGTACACTGCTGGGGAACAGGGGTGTAACAGTAGTGAGGTGTTTCCCTCAGATGACCAGCATGCTAGCCAGCTATGCTGTCTCTCCACTCCGGAGAGAGGGGGTTAGAAAAGGTCGACCTCAAAAATTGTACATCCCGACTTACCCCACCTACGGTGGTCCGTAACCGGCAGTAAGTTTACTGATACGGTATCAATCCCAAAAACCAGTTCATACAGGCCGTTTGTGTGACCGGCCTCAAGCAGTTGTCCCCTTGTGGTGAGAGCAAGCTGCTAGCCAATTGGTAGACATTGATCTACGCTGATTGGTAGAAATTAATCTAGGCTGATCCAACAACCAATCACAGCTGACCTAAACGTGGACAAATATGATTCGCAGACAAGTGGCTCGCATTTCCGAAAAATATCAAAAACGAGAAAGCGGAAGACTGCGATTGTTTGCAAACAACCAATCAGAAGACCGCCTGCTCTCTGCGGGCCGAAGCCTTATTAATGTACGTAAAATACATATAAATACCTGTTGGTTTTCGTAATAAAACTGATCTGTTGCCAGCCTTGTCTTCTGTTGTTACATTTGGTGTCGCTGCCTCCGGAAAAATGAAGATCCCGTGGCCAGCTGCGTTTGAGGAGGGAGACATACGGAGCTTCCTACGTGATTTCGAAGCCGTAGCTGAGCTGGTGGGTGTCAAGGAGCAGGCAGCGAAGGCAGTTGTTCTGGGGACGCTGTTGAGAGGCCGAGCGAAGGCGGCATATGACAGCGTAGACCGGTCAAACGGCACAGTGTCTTGGAAGAGATTGGTTGAAAATTTGGTGTCGGAGTTCGACAGCGCAACAGACAGACAGCTAGCGATGCAGCAGTTCCGATCAACGAGGCTGGGACCTGATGGAGACCCGTTAGTATTGGCGGTGAACTTGCCGAATTTACTTCGACGGGCGCTTCCCACGTTGGATAAAGAATCAGAAGAGCAGTTACTATCTTCCCAATTCATCGAGAGTGTACCAGACCACATTTCTCAGCAGTTAAAACTGGTTAACGCAACGCAACCGATGGATATTAGTGAGCTAGCGAAGGTGACCAGACAGCTGCTGAGCACGACTGTAGCCGCTATAGAACAGCCGAAACCAAATGAATATGAGTAGCAAATTGAAGCATTGCAGCGGGAAGTGGCGGCGTTAAAGTTGGGTAATAGAAAAAACCGATGTTTTGAATGCGGCAAGCCAGGACACTGGAGAAGAGACTGCCCAGAAAGACAGAAAAGGAAAAATTTCAGACGGTATAATGCTTGTTCTTTCTTTCGTATGAACCTAGACTTAGTGGGGGCGATTGAGAAAGGGGCTATGTATTCGAAGTTGCGAGTAAATGATCGAGAAGTAGTATGCTTAGTAGATACAGGAGCGGCCGTGTCGTTGATAGATAAGAATTTATGTAAGAGCGTTAGTCCGTGTTCGTTGACAGTACAAACAGTAGGCGGGCATGTGTTGCGTATAACGGGTAGGTCGAACTGTATGATTGTTGTTGGAGGGTGCGAGGTGACGTTTCCTTTCATTGTTGTGCCCGAACTACAGCGAACGATATTAGGAGCGGATTTTCTGCGGGAGATTGGTGCAATAATTGACACGCAAGCGAAAGTGGTGGTCACGAAATACGGGCGTATGTAAATGTATGAGACCAGCGAGATAGCAGCGGTGAACCTGTCGACGGTATACAACATGACAGATTTAATTAAGAAATACGATCATCTGTTCACTGGAGATGGCGATCCATACGGTTATTGCGACAAGGTGAATCATGAAATTCCGTTAACTAATCCAAAAGTAATGTCATTTACATCGCGAAGAATACCATGTCATCTGGAAGGCGAAGTGAAGCGACAAGTGCAAGAGATGTTAAAAGACGATATTATTGAAGAAGCTGATAGCCCGTACAACTCTCCAGTGCTGTTAGTAAAGAAAGCGAATGGGAAGTATAGATTCTGTGTTGACTTTTGACAATTAAACAGTATGACAGAGTTAAAACCGTGTGCCATACCAACAGTGGTGGAAACTTTAGACCGCCTACAAGGCGCGAATGTGTTTTCCGTTTTCGATCTTCGCTCAGGGTACTGGCAGATACCGATAAAACCAGGTGATAGAGATAAGACGGCATTCAGCGTGGGCCAGACACAATATCGATTTAAACGCATGCCGTTTGGACTAGCAGGTGCACCGTTTACCTTCAGAAGACTGATGACGCTATTACTTAGGAACTTGAAAAACGTGGAAGTGTATGTTGATGATCTCGTGATATACAGTCAAAACGAAAACGATCATGTGAAGCATGTAGAAGCCGTGCTGCGACGCATCGAAGAGTTTGGACTGCGCATTAACAAAACCAAGTCCCAGATAGCCAGAAAGAATGTTACTCTGTTAGGACATAAAGTAGGAAATGGTGAGATTAAACCACTACCGGAGAAAATTTTGACGATTAAAACAATTCCAGCCCCGAATTCAAAGAGGAAATTGAGGCAATTCTTGGGTAGAGCGGCGTTTTATAGTCGATTCGTGAAGAACTTCAATGAGATAGCAGCCCCTCTATACAGGCTACTAGGTGAGCCGAAGTTTGTTTGGTCGGAAGAATCGCAGAGGACATTTTACAGAATTAAACACCTGTTCGACCACCAACAAATGACGCTAAAACTACCTGTACCTGGAAGACAGTTTACAGTGTGCACAGATGCCAGTGACTACGCCATAGGTGCGGTCCTAAGACAAGGTGATGGAATCGTTGAGTATGCCAGTCGGGTTTTAACACTCACAGAGAGAAAGTATTCAACGATAGAGAAAGAATGTTTAGCAATGGTATGGGCAGTCGACAAATGGCGACCTTATTTACTCGGCCGGCGGTTCCACATCGAAACCGATCATAAGCCGTTACAATTTTTGAAGACAGTGAGAGACCCACGGAGGAAATTGTCACGGTGGATGTTGCGTCTTCAGGAGTACGATTTTACGATCTCACACGTTCCTGGAAGTGAAAATGTCTTGGCAGATTTGTTATCGAGACCAGAAGACGAGCCTGAGTTGCCCGAGGTCGCTTACGGAGTGCATGCTGTAGAACAAGACCCACTAAAACTTGCACGCAAGCAAAGGTTGGATGATACGCTGAATACAGTGATACAGGTGATAACCAACGGGATAGAAGTAGATCAAGCTACGGCGAGTAAGGAGCTAACCACACTACTCAGACAGAGAGATCGACTAAGAGTGAATGCCTACGGGACTCTGACCTGGCGAGAGAACGACGGAAGCTGGCTGGCTATCATACCTCAGTCCTCGCGCCACGACATGATAGAAGAATGTCACCAGCTAGCACATACAGGCGTGGCCAGAACAACTGACCTCCTAAGACAAAGCATGTACTGGCCAGGTATGAGAGAAGACGTAGCAAGATACGTACTTGGATGTCCACGGTGCCAGCTAATGAAAGGCGACCGGTGCATACGACCACCGCTTCAGTCGATTCCAGTTACGGCGATAGGTGACTTGTGGTCCGTAGATGTCATGGGTCCATTTCCTCAGACATCTAATGGTAGTCAGTACCTCCTGGTGATGACGGAACACGCGACACGATGGGTAGACGCCGTAGCGATCCCAGATCAACGTGCAAAGACCGTGACAGACGCAGTTGTTAAACACATCGTTGCAGACCACGGCGTACCAAAGACGATACTGACAGACCAAGGTCCCTGTTTCGAGAGTGAAGAATTTACTTCCCGTTTGCAACAGCTGGGCATCAAGAGGATCAGAACGACCCCATATCATCCACAGACGAATGGCCTAACGGAGAGAAACAACCGTACACTGAAGGAGTGGCTGGCCTCGAAGGGCGGTAACTGGGAAACGGAGCTTCCACTGATTTTACTGACGCATCGGGCTACCACTCAGGAAACAACGAAGAAGTCACCCTTTCAACTGATGTATGGTAGAAAACCACGATTACCGATACACAACGAGACCTGGCCCCTTCACCAAAAGTGGAGTACGACGAAATTAAAAGCAGAGCGGAAAGAGGCCGTCAAGAATGTAACACGGAAGCAGCGGAGTGATGTCGCGAAGTCTCAGATGAAAGAAAAGACGCGGTGCATCACCTTTGCAGTCGGGGACCAAGTGAAGTGTAGAGACAGGAGATATACAGTTGGAGGCGGGCCAGGTTCACGGAAACTCCTGCCAAAGTGGGAAGGACCATACACAATCACAAAAAGACGGGGTCAAGTATATACCGTCCGAAGAGGTGACAAACAGAAACGAGTTAATGCCAGTCAGCTCCAACGATGGGTACAGTGGGACAAGCCGATCAGCAACAATCCTCAGCTAGAGGATGTAGCACCAAGAAGGTCGGAACGCCTGCGTACGAAGCTATTTGACGGGGGGACGAGTGTGGTGAGAGCAAGCTGCTAGCCAATTGGTAGACATTGATCTACGCTGATTGGTAGAAATTAATCTAGGCTGATCCAACAACCAATCACAGCTGACCTAAACGTGGACAAATATGATTCGCAGACAAGTGGCTCGCATTTCCGAAAAATATCAAAAACGAGAAAGCGGAAGACTGCGATTGTTTGCAAACAACCAATCAGAAGACCGCCTGCTCTCTGCGGGCCGAAGCCTTATTAATGTACGTAAAATACATATAAATACCTGTTGGTTTTCGTAATAAAACTGATCTGTTGCCAGCCTTGTCTTCTGTTGTTACACCCTGGGCTC